TAACATCAGCAGCATTCTGAGAAAGCTTCATATTTTGAACTGCAGTGTTCGTAATGTCTCCCCTTCCACAGCATTGCTTCCTTTCACAAACAAGCCAGGGAAGCACAGCCTAGATGTAATCACTGGGAAATGGAGGGCACCATCCTCTGAAACAATATTAAGAGTTAGCAGCAGTTTGCAATAAAACTGAGAAGGTACCCCAGCTGAGGTCATGCAGAGCCAATCATTAATGAAACTTCATTTGACAGCTGCATTATCTGCTTGGATGATGAAGTAACAAGGATTTCTATAATTCACAGTTTACTTCTGGCAAAGGCAAACACTTTGAAGGGCAAGATTCAAAACCATCTCGCTTTGGAGAAACTAACAAAATGAAAATAACTACACTTAGGAAGGTGTAATCAAAAACAGAGATGGTAAGTATGCTTCCCATGGAATAAATGCCTAGAGATGCTTTTCAGGGCCTTACAGCAACCATGCAATTAATACAAATAAGGCAGTGCTGTTGTGAAAAGAACAACTCTTATCTGTATCACAGTACAGAGTCTGCATCAGCAGGCAGCCAGAGGCTGAGGGGAAAACACTCAGCCTAGATTCACTACACCTGGGCAGCCTCATTAGCCCAGGGCCTCATAAGGCACTTGGGTTTTTTGATATTCAGAGAAAAGAAGTACTTTCTTTTCCTTTCTACTCTTTGAAGAAAAGGGTGGTTCTGCAAAACTGACTCTGACAAATGAGTTCAGTTCAAGGAAGAAGATTTAAAATTGATAAAAGGTAAGCAATAAAGAAATGTACTGTGATTGAAGTTTATGGTACGCAAGGAGGAAAGAGGTGACAGTAATAGTTTTGGGAATAAATAGAACTGGTGGCATCCTATGACTGGATGCTTTCAAAACTACTATTTACATGGATTATTTGTGACAGAATAGCTCTGTAATATAGGGAGGATAATTATTCTGCTCTACTTGGTGCTGATGAATCCTCTAGCTAAAATATTGTCTGGTCTCTGGCAATAAACTGTAAAGTACACAAATGGGGGAGATTCCAGAGGATTGCAAGAAGACTAAAAGACTTAATCTAAAAGAAAGGCTGAATAGCTATTGTTATCCCTATTAAAGAGAGAGGACTAGTACAAAGAGTGCAAGGATCTCAAAATGTCCACAGGGAGCTGTGATTAAGACTGGAATATGTTGATTACACATACTGAAGACTTACATTAGACACCAGGGAAACCAAGCTTGAAAGAATAACTAAACACTCAGGTGGCATATCTAGAAAAACCAGCATTCCTGCTGTTGTAGAGTTCTGAATTCATTAGGTGAAAATCAGCTAGGCAGTCATCTAGCTGTACTTAATCCTAATGCAAGTGCAAAACAATAATCCTGATGCTCCTCCCAGCTCTACACATCTGTAGATGTGTAACTTATTGCATATTACAGGAGAGAGTAACACTAAAACAGTTACGAAAATTCTACTGTCCGATAGTCACCCTAAGGAAACTCTAAGCAAGTAACTTAAATGTAGACTCTCAGTGTAAGTAAAAGACCTTGCCTAAAGACCCATACTGCCAGGTGTGGTGACAAAACTAAAGGAAAGCTACTCATGAACCCGAAGACCCAGTCACAGGTTGATATCTTCTCCCAGCCTGTATTCCTGAGGTCCTCCTCTGAGGAAAGATTAGAGGAGTCAGTCCTGTGTACTGCTATTGCTCTCATAAACTGGGCCCCACAATCTGAGGGAGTCAGAGATGGAAATTTGGCCAGATTGCAAACTATATTAAAGAAAAACCTAAATGTGAAGATTGGAAAATGAGATGCATGGAATAACTCAAAGCACAGTGCTTTGCAAAGGATTTAAGACAGCAGTTCTACCAAACTTTTTGCTGCATTCTGAAAATGTTGTTTAAATGTAAGTTAAAGTTAAAACCTACTTTCCCCACAGGAAGATTTTTTTTCATCCTAAAACTAAAAGCGTAAATTTTCAAAGCAAGGATAAAACAAACTTAGCAAACATGTTGCATAAGGGGCCAGACTGAATAAATCCTGTAGAAAAGTGTCCAAGGCCAAGAATTCCTATGTTTGAGCAACACTCTCTTTACTCATTAGTAAAAAAATAAGCATTAGACAATAGGCCTGAAAGAGCAACAAGTTGCTTTTCACAAAGCACAACATTCAACTGTGAAATCAACTGTCAGAGGCCTTTCTGAACACCAAGCCTACTTATTGTCAAAAAGTATGAGATGTACAGAGAGGTGAGTGTGACTACTGATGGCTATTTAGCACTGTGGTTCTGAAATAAAGCCTGGCTCAGGAAGTTACTAAATCCTGCATGCTCTAGTATATGATACTACAAGAAAGGGCACTTAATTAATGCTGTTACAGATTCTTCTATAAACTAAAAGTAATGGCCTTTCCTCCTGAAAATGTACTTCTCATTTTGCAAAGCTCCTTAAGAATTTTTACAGATTTTTTAACTATATTAAGTTATTCCAGTGACTTTGACCATTTTCACCAACTTCCAAAGTCTATGCCCAGTTTGGTTTTTTTATTTTCTGTCAAATATTCTCCTTGAATTCCAAGCCAAATCATTGAAAAGCCACCACTCAGTCTGTCTAGTGCTTTATTTGGCTCCGAAATTGGTCACAAAAACAATTGTATGAATCTTTTTGTCTGTTAGACAGACTATCTGATGCCGTAACTAATTTTGTGCCAAAGTTCTATTTAAAACCATAGCTTTGGCCTGATCTTATAAATCACCTATATTCATCTCCAAAGAACTTAAGATCATGACTTTTCTAAAACTGAGAAGACCAAACTCAGGACATCTTTTGCAGACAGAATTATTTTTAAAAGCCTCAAACATCTGAATTTCTTTTCAACTGCTCAGATACTTAATTTCAAGGAAAAGAAATTTTACAGATAGAAACCACGTAAATCTGAAGTAGATTTTAGGATCCTGAGAGTGTGTGCCCAGTGTTTCTTTCAACAGTGCACATCCTTTAGCAGTAAATGTGGTATTTATAATTCATTTCACTATTTTTCAGTAAGCTGCAGTCACCTTTGCTTCTAACAAATCTTTCTTACAAATTTGAACTTACTGCTCCAAATAAGAACAAAAAGATGGAAAGATACATTTATATTGAACATCAATTTTTGATGAACTACAGAACAGACAAGAAGGTGCTGAGAACAAGCTCCACAGCCCCATCTGTTGGCTAATGAAGCTCCCAAAACCATCCACCAGCCCCTAGCCAATAATGAAGTAGAACCAGTTTATTTTTTGGATAAAATTCCAGGTTTTACTATCTATGGCATCTGTGTACCAGTAGCAACTTTCACTATCCAAGCACATAGTAATTGAGTTTCTAACACACTTCTGTGATTTTTTTTACTTAGTTCCCCTAAATTAGGCTGGATACTTTCTGAGTCAAAATCTAATCCCCTACCACAAGTAAAGATGCTACTTCTAGGATATGATAAGTTGTCATTCAAACTCTAATGGCAGTTAAACTGTGTCACAGTACCACTGAAATTTGGGTATCCTGCACTAAAATTTGATTACCCAAAATAAAGTTTCAGGCTAATTGCTATCTTTTAAAAGCTCTTTAGAGGAAAGAGAATTCATAAAGAATCTTAGTAATGCAGGATCATCTGACTCCACTATGTTCTTTTCAGTCCAAAAATACACTTTCCTTTCAAAGGACTAAATTCTATTCCTGCTCAGGCCACAGTCATAACAAGCCATCTGCAGGACTTTTAAAAAGATATTGGCTGCTGGGCAGTTTTGCTCATTCATAGCTTTCCATCCTATTATTCAAAAGTCCATAAAATAAATGGACTCCGTATCTCTTATCTACGAACCTTCAGGACTCCTATGGTCAATAAAGCAGCTTTTCTGCAAGAAGAGCTACAGAACCAGTCCCCTTTATTCTGGAAACAATGTATGTATGCTAGGCTGGGGGGAATGGCTGTGAAGCTGAGATCTTTGGGGCTTGGTAGCAAAGAAGCAAATGGCAAGAGAGCTACTCTGTTTAAATCAAAAGCTGAGATGACCAAAACAGATAAATGAAATGTGTAAGGACAGATGAAAAGGAAAGAGTCATGAGAGGTCATGAATCACATCTATCTTTGACAAACTTTATTTAAATAGATTCTACACCCATATCACAGGGACATGCCAGAAAACAATACAAATCTAAGCAGTGGTGCAGCAGACAGCCTTCATAGTTAAACTCAGTGCTCAAAATAACTGAAGATTATTTTAATCCACTCTCTAATATGGTGCCAATATAACCTACAGATGTGAAACTCGCTAAAACGGAATTTTAGCATGTAAAAAAAGCACGGCATTGCCCTGTTAGCTATCTACTTATGGTGTTTACAGACAGCAATTGATGAAAAAATTATTAAAACCGAGTGTAACCAGCAATATGATGGAGTATTCTCTATGTTGCTTTAGAAATAATGTGCAGCCCTGTGTGAGTTATGTGTGGAATCAGTATCCCACAAATGATGTCTTAAAAGTACTACAGAGGTGAGAAAGTACATGCATTTCCAGATTATTTCTTGGAAAAATATAGAACTCATAAATGTCTGTTAAGGTATAGCTTAGAATTTTCCCAATTTTTCAAGGAGTTGCTCTTTAAATGTATTTTTATATAATTCTGTTTTAATACACTTAGAATGGAGAACTGTTTTCAGATTTTGTATGATATATAAACTCCTCGGTATTCTGAGAACCTTTGTGAGGGCTATTTCCAGCAGTGAGGGGATTCTGCTCCTTTCCTAGAGCAAGCACTTGTATTAGCTAGGAAGGAACAGCAGAGGCCCTACAAGGGCAGCAGTGCACCCAGACAAGCGAGATACAAAGGTTCAGATGGTGATGTTTGCTCTTCTCGACAGGTTGGAAATGCCTTGTGTGCACTTCATTCAACACACAGACACTACATGAGATGACTTTAAAGCAATCTATCAGGTATCACACCCAGGTCCTTAACTTACCCCTCCCATTGTGATGCCATCGATAAGTGCCACATACGGCTTCTTGCAGGTGCCTGTAAAAAACACCAAGGAAAACAGTCACCCACCTTTTTCAAGAGTGGACCTGTGACTTGCTGCCACATGACAGGTTTCCCTACATCTTACTTCAGCAAGAGCAGCAGAAAGTAAATAGGAATTTAAGCAGTAATCATATTATCATCTTATAATGAAGGTACCTCATGTAATTCTTAAGTAATGATTTACTGGACCGTGAGTGCTGTAAGAGAACATTATACAACTAGCAAACATTGGACTGTTTGTTATGTGAGTACCTGACAGTTTAGCCAGTATAAATAGCTTTGCCTGATGTTGGGACACAGCAGATGCCCTTTCACCCCCTCTTAAAATCTGGACTAAGAGCATGGGGTGTGTTCCAGCCTTTCACTGCTTTATTACAAAGTCAGAAGTATGGGCAGGTTCCAGGCACAATGTGAGTATAAATTCTGCAATGCAGGCATGTTCTGTCATGGCAGCTCTTGCATACAACCCTGATGGCGCAGGCAGGTTCAGATGACAATGCCCTGAATTACCAACGTCATCTGTTGGGGCCTTTGGAAAGCATAAAACTAAACCCAAATGGTTTCAATTACCATTCATGGAAAGACTCAGAACTTCACTGTGAATGAAACAGCTGCCTTGTATTCAGTGTTTTCAGGTCAGCCTTACAGTCCAAAAAGATTGATCATACAGGTATCCTCTGCAACCCTGTTGAGAGTTTTTCTGTAACAACTATAGAGAGCCTTGTTTTTAAAAGAATTATTTTAAAATGCAGTTCAATCCTTCAAATTATTAGTTAGAAAATGTTAAGAGAATTGTATTTTGAACTTTGTTCTTACATGAACTTACAAGCTAATGCATGGGCTGTAGGTGCTACCCCCTGAACCAAATTTCTATGGCAGCAATCCTTTCCCATTGCAGTGCTGTGACAGCAGCTCTCCAGTGTATTTTTAAGTTGTAAAATGTAAGACATAAATATTTTTAGCAGAAATCTCAGTCTTAAAGGAATATGGTCATACTAAAGCTAGAAAAAAAATCTAGGTTTTGTAATTACATGCATTAGAGATATTGAACACCTAATAATTTTTTTAAAAATTATTATCCTTTTTTAATATGCTTTACTCTAGTAAACTTCACACAATATCTTTGCAATAAACTAAGGCAGCTCACTCCTGAGATAAATAACCCTAGTCTTTCATGCAATCTATTTAAATGGAAAGCCTTCATATAATTGAATCTTTTGCTTTCTGACGGAATATTAATGATTTTCCACACATCTATTTTTACCTCAGGTCTTCTTTGAAGCAGATCAATGATACTTAGGGCAGAACTGCAGTGTCTGCAGCTAAAACTAATTCTTCCACAGAGGAAATGGAACTAACCAGAACAATGGGATGGGATAAAATAGCTGTCACAATAACTTAAACAAAAGAAACATATTCTGCATGCAAGGTATAAAAATGGGATATGTTATATTACTGGTATTGAACTTGGTAAAAAAAAAAAATTACTACTTCTCTGATGTTACCACAGTCTTTAATAGATTATCAAAGAGATAAATTTGCATTTGAAGCCAGTGTAATGAAAAGTATACTGTTTAAGAAATTGCTAATAACATACCAATGGCATTGTTCAGCCTATATTCTCCTCTGAAGAAATCTTGTAACAGTTTATCTCCAACTTTCCCCGCTTCTGTGATGGCTTAAGAGAAATAAAAATTCTGAAGATAATTGTAAGCTTAATAGAAAACACAAGTAAACAATGCCTCATAAGTTGGGTCTTTTCCTACAGCAAATAGAGACATACTTAATCCTGCTTTATTATATTTCAGAAAATTTGCTCAAATTTAAATATGAACATAAGTCTTAAATTTGATTTAATGGTATTTTGCTGGAGACTGTCATATACTTGTGAGTATGGTCCATTTTCTAACCCCTCCTAATGTCTAGTAATGTCTAGTAATACTAATGTCTAGTATTCATTTGTGGTATTTTTCATAGCAACGTTTAGAACTGTCACTTAAAACTGACTATATTAAAGACTTTAAATACTAAAAATGAAAGTAAATTAGAGCATAACATAAAAATATATTGCTATACATTGTTATAACAATAACTTGTGCTGCTTGTTTACCTACAGTTTACAACTGCTAATTTTGACACTTTGGAGATTTCCTGTAGTCCACAGCTAAAAAAAAAAAAAATCACAGATACATTGATTACCCTTGTCAGATCTGTAACTAGCTATCTAAAACATTAGACACAAAATATCTAATACTAGCAGAGCAACCTGTTAGGGCCCTTCAAATTTCTTAGAAAGAAGCTGTCAGTAATGAAAATCTTGGAAGAGAAATGTAGAGACCAGAACCCTCTCCTGCCAGAATGACTGGCTGATATTATCAGTTATTCATTAAAATGTAATTTTTACTCTTATATACACTGTCCTGACAGTTGTCTCCTGACAAATACCTTAAATAGCATCTACACATCAAGTTGTCATAAGAGTCAGCACAACTGATCTCTTACTCTTGTGTAGCAAGATTTTGTTTACAAAGATTTTGTAAACAAAGGAAATCAACACAAAATAGTGACTTGGAAAGACATCACATGTTTAAGTGAGGATAGTCCTTACCTCGGATGTCACCTCCAGCACAAAAAGCTTTTCCTCCAGTTCCCTTTATAATTATTAGAAAAGTTTCAGGATCTTGCTCCCACATCTAAAAAGAAGTAAGTATTTCCACATAAGACTAAAATCTGTAAATGCTTGTTCTTTTTAGCGTCTGTAACTCTTATTCCACTTTTTCAAAAAGCAAGTCGAACCATACTTTAAAATACATTGCCTTAAACTGAAGTTTAAGATCTAAATGTCTTTCTGCCACTTCTGCATCCTATTCAACTATGAGAGCAGAGACCAGCAGAGCTGCCTTTCCTGGTTCAGAAAAACACCTGTGCACAGCTCTCAGCCTCTGAAGAAAGGCAGCACCCCACAAAAGGGGGCCAGATGGAAATCAAAAACTGATACCTTTTTGGCTGTGCTTCAAAAATGTCTAATAAACACCAAAAGGCATCAGACAATTACCCAACAAATATTGGTATCCAATGAATTTGACTTTGTGCATATGATAAATAGTATCATTAACTTAAAAGAGATTATTCTCATGCTTAAAATCTCACGGTACTTCACTAGCTTGTAGAAACAGTGCCTCTAAATGCATGAGTTCTCATTTAAGGAATGACACTGACAGCCCCCTGCTTCCTAGTGGCTGGTATCTTATTTTCAGCCATGCAGCCTCCCCACAAAACATGCACTCCATCAAGAGGCAACACCACTCTATGGGCTGAAATTTTTGCCAGCTGACCAGGTGGGTGCTGCCAAAAGGAACACACAAATGCTGAGCAGTGCTTGCTCTTAATTCAGTGCTGGTATTAACATGGATGTGGATTTACCTATGGAGATGCTAAATTTAACTCTGTCTGACAGCTTGTTTCTTTGATGTGTCTCCTCTTTCTAACTTGCTTGAAACTGCCTGGTTTTTCCCATGCTATAAATCTGAGCTCACTTAACTCATACAAACTTTCATCCTTTAAGTCAGTACTCTAAGAAGTGTCTAACTGCATTTTAAAATTGGTTTCAAATAACATTTGTATAGTGGATGGGTAGAAGTGGAGATACTAACCTTTATTTGAGGGTAAATTTGTTGGATCATAGACAGATTTAGTGCATTGAGAGCCTTGGGTCTATTCAAAGTTATTATTCCTGCAGCTCCTTTCTTTTCCAACAACACTTCTGCTGCCGAATCTGTCTGCTTAGACATTTTCTGTGCATGCAAAAACAAATAAATAAAGCAAATGCCATCAGTTAGGTAACCTGAGTAACATATCTACAAAAGTGTTTAGGAAATATATTCTCTACATGCTATCTAGGATCATAAAACATGCATTCTGGAATTGTATGCTAAGCTTTTCCCACTGTACTTCTATTTGAATTTCCTAAACAGTTCTTTGGAAACTACTTTAAGTCCTTCAGAGTAATAAACCTCAGACAAGATTTTGGACCATGCATTGTTTTACAACAACATTTTGAATTCAGTTAAATAAAATCTACAAAAGAAACACACAAACACATACAAAAAATCAAACAAAAAATTCCCCACCCTACTGATAAAACACAAATCCATGGTTCCTTAAAACTGACATTCTGAAAATACGTGCAACAATTAGAACAATGACAGTTCCATATATCCTTACGAGTAGTTTGACACTGCAAACCCAAATGTACACCCTGCTTTGCCTTCAAGTAACTTTTAACAGTAGAAAACAAATCCCCTGAACTATTTTCACACTCATAGTGAGATGATATTTAAGGAATTTACAGATGCTAACACAGAAACTATCTATAAATTAAAGAAATATCTATAAAGTAAAGCCAAAACAATCAAGCTTTAATTTACGGTATAATAGACACCTGTAACAAAGTGCTCAAAGATGTGGGCAATACTATGCCTGAGCAATAAGTGACAGTGTTCAGAACCTCTGTGTGCAGACACATTAGAAGTTGCATGTGCTGTGTGCCTCAGGGGAGTGAGAGAGTCCTCAAAGCTTCCAAACCAGTCAAACATGATGCTGTCCTTACCAAATGCTGTAATATTACTTGCAGTCTGTTGAGTGCCCTCAGCCTGAAAAAGAAGCATTAAAAAAACAGCTAAAACCATAAACCAGCCACAGGACTCCCCAAATATCTGACTGCTGGGTTAAGCACAGCAGTGGCAGAAAAAATTGGGACCAAAACTGTTTTACATTCTCCTTATAAGAATCAATTAAATTACGGCAAATTTTTTTTGCTTACTAGTAAATAAATAGCAGATACCAATATCAGCTACTAATGTTTTCAAGTTAGGAGAAAATACCAGGAGAGAGGGGTTGGGGATATGATTGACACTCTGTGTCTTTTAAAGCTTTTTGCAGGCACGTTTAAATGTTGACATTAAAAGAAAAAAAAAGAAAAAAGTCTTGTCAAAACTTTTGTCTATTTCCAAAAGCTTCCGTGACACAAACTTGCCCTCGTGTGTACACATTTCACGTACATTGTGTAAGAGCTCGCACAGTGCTCATACTTTTGTGGGTGACAGGAGGGACCCAGGCTGTCAAACTTCGTGAACACACCACTCGTTTGGAGCAGCGAGGCTGTAATTTATTAATGGCCACTGAGGCTGTGCTGGCCACACATCAGAGCTGCAGTGAGAAATTCACCTTTCAGCTGCTTCAGCGCACAAACCCAGCCAACTCCAAGTTCTATGTTAGTGCCGCGGTACACTACGCTGTTTTCTAATGGCATGCTTGTTTTTGAAGGTGAAAGTTAGCGAAGGCCTGGCTGATCTAGGCCCGAGCTGTAACTCGCAGCAGCTGCGGGGCTGCGCCTCCCGGCCGGCTCGGCCGCCGCTCCCCTCGCTCCCCGCCGCCGCTGCAGCCCCTCAGGGCGGCCCCCGTTACCTGGGCAGCGCCCGCAGCGCCGGGCCCGCCATGGCGGCGCCGCTCCCTCACCGGCCCCGCCGCGGCACAGCGCGGGGCGCATGCGCAGAGCTCCGAGGGGCAGCGGCTCATGAGGGCTCGTCCCCACGAAGCCTTTTGCATTAACCAAGGCAGATTCCTTACCCTGCGCAGGGAAAGGTGCTGCTCCCCGTCCTGGATAAGGCCGGGTGGTGTGAGGGGATCTGGTGATGCAGCTGCTTTGCCGGTGAAGCGAGGAATGCCGCGTGTAGCAGTAACATCAGCCGCGGCGCTGGCTGCTAAAGGCGGGGAAAGCTCGCATTGCCAAACTGCCCTCAGAGCTGAACTTCGTGCGCCGGAGCTGCATCCCGGCTGTTTATTGGACTGGTTTCTTAATTTCTGACCTCCAGGCTTCTCTCCACCTTCGCACCTGAAACACCAGACACATCTATAGAGCCCTCGCAGCTACTGACACGCGGTCAGGGGTGAGGTGGGATTAAGGATCCGCTCTAGTGTAACATCCCTGCAAGAACTGCTTATCCATGAAGGTAAACACGGGGAGAACGTGTATGTAGATTTACATTAGGAACAAGCACGGTTACTGACCCGACAGTAGCTACAGACAACGCTGTGCTGAAATACAGCCTGTGCGTTCAGCATAAATAGACTCAGAAGTTGCAGCTGTGGAAATTGCCTTTTGAAAGAAAATAAAATATTAAAACACTTGAGAATATTTCACCCTAGGAGTCAATAATACAAAATTCACTTTGATTTCAAGATCTAAGACCACTCCATGACTGTTTTTTAGGCTGACACATAGCAACATGAGACATGGAAAAGATGTGATGAACCATGGAGTAAATGACCATACAGTGCATTAGGTTGAACTGTAGCTTCATCATATCTTGGTGTAACAAGTTCTTAGCATCAGCTGCCTTGACTCACATTTGAATTTAAAAGAAAAAAAAAAAAAAAACTTAAAACCTTTTAGCAAATTAATTTTGCTTGAAGGAAAAAAATGTCCTAGCTCTCAGAAGCACTTCTAGAGAAGTCTCCAGAGGGCAACCTTGTTCTTTATTTCTAAAATGATTCAGCCCCTGGTTATATCAGCGTCATCTCTGTTGGCATTTCCGTTGCAGTGACTCTCAGAGTATATTAAATCTAGTTGTATTAATTTTAATCAAACTAAATAGGCACACCAAAAAAAAAAAAATCACCCCAGAACATTTCTGTATTAAGGCAGCCTCAGATTTCAGTCTTGTACAATGTGAACAAAAAATAACTGGGAACAGGACATGAGGTGCTTTTGCAGGCACTGGGAGACTGTCTACTGCAAACTAATTAATTGCAAGAATCCATTAGGTGATCCTAACTATTCAAACTTTCACCTAAAGGTTATATGATAATCAATGATGCAGCTTATTGGTGTCATTTAGTGTTCAGACAGCCCTATATGCTGCATTATATCAAGTGCCATGCAATTAAATCTAAACCAGGCTAAATGACACCAAATTATCACAGTTGGCAAACCTGAACCCTGACTTAGATAATTATTTTTAAAATTATGTTTGAGGATAACTCTGCAGCTCTCATCCAGGCATTACTAATTAGAGAGTTTGATAAGCAGGTAACATTTTTGTTTCTCATTTCCTGTGACTAGAAGTCCCTACATTTCACAGAAAAATATGAAAATAACTTTTCAGTGGGATAATCTCTTTGTTAGCGTTGTTGTGAAAACAAAGAAATGGGTGTGTGGAAGCTAACCTTGGGTAAGAGCAGGTGGAGGCTGTTTGAAAGCCCTGGAAATCTCTTAACAAATTCCACCTGCACATGGGCAAGGCTGTGATCAGGACATGATTACATGGGATGTCTGTTTCTGGGGGTCTAAAATAGAAGCTGGTGATCTGATTAATCTTTTACTTATGCTGATTTTGATCTGTTCTCCTCCTGTCCTCAGTGTAAGTAATGGTGTAAACCCTTTGTAGTCTTCCAGCAGTATGTCTGATTTAGGACACAAGTGAGCCTACTCCTTTGTAAACAATGAAGTAGCAACGAGCTTTGCCTTGACACAACTACTGATTTCTCTCCACGGTGCTGACATTGAATTTATATTTAATATTTTCTTTAAAATCTTTCCTTTTTTTTTTTAAGTAGTTTTTAAGAAGAAGGGGTGGTAACATGAAAGCCATCTTCTTGAGGCTTCATTTTTAAACCTGCTGGTGATGGCTTCCATTTACCTACAGTTTTTTTAGGGGCAGAGGATTCATAAGTGTCAGAAAATTGTTGGTTTTTCACAGCCATTTAGCTGACTGCAATCCTGTCCAAAAAGCAATTCAGATATCATCCTGTTTTTCAGTAGTCTTCCTGCACACTCCATTTTTTTCAGAGTGGAATGTCAAAGTGAAAATACTTTCTAAAAAGTAAATAAAAGACTTTTCTAAGTAGGTGGTGGAAAAAGAGTGAAAATAAGGAGTTGCCTGAGAATAAAGCAGAATAATATGACCTTTCACCTGGGAGTTTATGGATTATTTTAATTTTGGCAAAGAGGGCTGCACAATACTGGACCAAGCCAGGAACTGAGAATGTTTAAGTGTGATAGCCAGAAGGATAAACAGGTTGTAATTCCTCCCCCTGGAGAAGTTTCCTGGCAGGGCCTTCAGCAGGTTTGAAAAGAGAAAGTTGCAGGCTGTAGGAGGTCTTTGGAGTTGAGCAGATGTTTTCAGGTTTTGTTTCTGGTTTGGGTTTGTTTTTTTTGGGGGGGGGGGGTTGTTTGTTTGTTTGTTTTTTGGTTTTTTTGGTTTTTCATTTCCAAAAAATCATATAACTTTAGACTGTGGGAGCTCTTCCTCTCAAGGAGGATTCCAAGAGCAGCTCAGCTGCATTCTGTGTGCCACCTGGACAACCCTAGTTAACCATTAATTTGTGCCTCACATTCGCTTCTGAGAGCTCCCAGAGTAGTTGACTAAGAATAGATAATAAATGGTACAAGTACTTCATCATGTCCCATGCTGTTGTTTCCAGGTTTGCTGTAAATTCAGTCTTTTCCTCTGCTGGTCTAACAGCTGGCATCTTATTTCTGTATGTGTGGGTAGTAAGTGCATCCTTACAGCCTGTGAAGGTTAAGGTAAAATGAGTCTGTGAAGGTTTGAGGAACAGAATGGGAAAATTTCCAGTTCATGCCTGCTAACTGGTTATTACTGTGCTAACAAACAATCCTCACATTGTTATTTCTCAGTCCAGACTCAGTTGACAGCCCTTGAAAATAGGTGATACAGGTTGAAATTTCCTCGTGCCAGCTTGGGTACCTAATAGTAAAGGCTCAGGTCTGCAGTAGAGTCTTCCAGGGACATCACTGAGAGCAGAAGAAGACTTAAAATAAGCAGAAAACAAATCTGTTTCTTCACTCTCTAACAGCAGGTCAACCCAGAGAATGATTGAAACACCTATGTAATGTAGAGAAACAAATATTTGCTTTTGTCTTTAACCTGAGTCTTCTCATGTGAACAGCCTGCCTTCCCCAGGGCTTTTGGTCAGAGACCTTTCAGATAATGTATTTGTACAACATCTGAAATCACAGATTTGGGACGAGGGCATACAGCTAATGGCATGCAGTAATGAATTTCTTCTGTAACAAGAACTTGTGTGAAGGAGGGGGGAAAAATCAACTTTTATTTTCTCCCTTTTATTTTTCTTCACTCGTTAATTTTCATCTTATCAGTGGGGAACTAGAGAGTGTTTGGAAAAGGCTGAAAGCAAATCCGTAAAGAAACTGTGTGAGCGAAGTAGTTTTCATTTTCTTTTGGCCTCAGAGAGCACCGGGGAAAGTGTGGGAGTGGCTGTGTGCTGCTGCAGATGCTGCCGTGTTGATGAGACGACGAGAGAGGATCCAAGCGAGGTCCATCCAGCAGTGAGTTCCTCCCCTCCCACCAGCCCGGCTTAGCACAGCACTCGTGCTGCAGCCACCCTGCCAGAACCCCCTGGGTGAGACGGGACCCTGGGCAAACACCCTCCTACATCTTTCTTCCCTGCTGCCACAAGCAATCTGTCACTCCTCTCCCCCAACCACCCTCCACCTACGTACAAAGCCATAACTGTAAGGAACGCCCTCTTCCCTCCTCCTTTTCCTCCCCACGAGCCTGTTCTCCGTGGGTGAAAAATGCTGTCTTCCCAGAGATCTGGTCACCCCCGATTTTGGCTTTGAGACCCAAGCTGTTTGATACCTTTTAGGACTACAGCTTGGAAGGCTCTGCTTGCAGACCTATTGTGTTAGTTTTTCAATTGCATATAATTGCACATGTGCAGGTGGGAAGGGGCTATTTGCTTCCCACTCTCTTCGATACGCCTCCCTTCCTAAGAGGACCGCTTCCTTCCCTTTCTGCTCTCAGCCTCCCACGCATTTAGCAATGAGAAATGGTGCAGAAAACTGACCAGCTACCAACCCGCCCACCTGAGGAGGAGGAGCAGCAGCAGCAGCACATTTCTCTTGCTCTCAGCTTTTCAAACACAGTTAAAAAGAGCTGTAGCGTGGGTGGAAATAGCTGTAGGGAGTGTGTGTGGGAATGGGGCTAGAGGAAAGTGCATTTTTTCTTGGTAGGACAGTTAACTTCTAGTGGACAAAAAAAATACCCCAAAGATATCTCACTGCTGAGGGTGTCTTTGGCTGTATAATTAGTTCTTGAGTCTCCCAGGTCTGGAAAGGATGAAGCAGGGAATGAAGCAAGTGATGGCATGGAAGCTTGCCTTCCAGACTTCAGGAGTCTGTTAGGAAATGATATCTGTATTGCATCTCGTTGTGTCATCACGTCTGCTGTTCTGCTCTCAATATGTGTGCTTGATTCTGTGAGAGTCAGAGCTGCCTGTATGTAGGAAGAGAAAAAGGCATGTGGTTTTCACACCATGTGGGTCTGTATTTCAAAATACTGTCCCTGTTGGACCTCTTGAAATAGCACTGTCCCAGAATATCAGTTAATTCAAGATTTACTCAGTGTGCTTCTATACAAAATTAAAATCAAGCTTATTTGTGTTAACTGGTTGTTATTTGAGGTGCCTTGCTTGTATTACATGAAAACAGCAGTGGAATTAGTAAGGAACGATACACTGGTATAGAGTGCAAAATGGTAGGGCTGTTTCTTAAGGAATCTCTGACAGACTCCAAGAACCAAGGGTCCTCAACAGCTGTGAGTTTCTGACTTGATTTGACTTAGCTATCTGAAATACAGATTTTACAATATATAATTATCCTCAGCATTGTCCTCACACAAGTAAGCTGCACACATTCTTCTCAAGCCGAAACTCT